TCATCAGTGAATGAAATCGTTGTCATGCAATCGGATTGACTAACTTGATCAGCAATAGTTAAGATCTTTTTTTTGAATTTTTCTGGGTTGACCAAAGCTTGTACCAACATTTTTTGTGTTTCTTTGGGTAATTCAAGTGCCTCAGGAAGACTTAGGTTTGATGGAATTTCTCTCAACCTTTCAATCATTTCTTCTTCATCTGTCGATACCTCTTTCTAAGCATTTTTGGTATCTAAATCTTTATTTAGTGGAGCATCAGTTATGCATTTTTCTTCACAAGCACTGATCACATAAGATGTAATTGATTCCCTTGTAAAGAATTGCTTGGAAAAATATTCCATCAATGTTACAGGTATGCGAGAACGTAACTTATAGTCTTCATCATCAATGGCTATCGGCTAGGAAGACACTCTTCTTTTTCCTCCACGTCTTGGATTTCGGTGAAAATGAGTCCCCCTCTTTGTTTTGGGGTGTTTTGGCTTATTAGTTGGAGGGGATGAATGTTGTAGCTTACGCACTCTCCGAGGTTTCACCATAGTCCATTCCCCCAAATCTTCTTTAGTGGCCATAAAATCATCAAAAGGAGGCCACTCACTTGGTTTGAGATCCAAAATAGGTGCTTCTGGCATGAGCTCCGAGTCGCCTAGTAGATTAGATGAATGTGAGTTAGTAATCGAGGTTTGATATTTTTCCTTTTTACTGACAAAGGTTGACCAACCATCCCCGATCTCGTCTTCTGATTCAGATGATGATGCCCAAACATCTAGATCATCTGTTATGAGTTCATAAAGCGTTGGAATGTTGGGATTTTTATGCCTCAACATACCTGGGTATGCATATACTGTTGTTATCTCATTATCAACAATTAACTGTACTTGCACAGCTCCTTCAGGAAGAGGAACGGTAAGTTCTTTACTTTTGGTTGACAATGTTTCTTCTGTAGAGATAGAAGACTTCAGCGATTGTGATGGTTCTTTAGGATGTATCAGAGTTGATGATTGTGCTCCTTTGTTTGAATTTCCAAGTCATGGGCTCGTGTTACAAGTTCTTCAAACGTATGAGGCATATTTCCTTGGAGACTGTAGAGTAGTCCCCAATGCATTCCTTGGGCACACATATCAATCGAAGAGGCTTCACTAATGTGTTCCTTACAATTGAACAAGACTCCTCCAACGTTCAATGTAATCAATGATAGCTTCATATTTTCTTTGCTTTGTTCCTGCAAGTTCAGGAAAGCTTACCATACGTCGAGTGCTGTAGAAATGAGTGAGAAACTCTCGTTCAAGTTGGTCCCAACTATCAACTGTCCCAGCTATTAGATCAGTGTACCAGTCAAACGCAGCCCCTCTGAGGGAACGCACAAATTGTTTCACCATCAGGTGGTCATAGGTACCGGCATTATTTCATGTTTCAATGAAATGAGCAACATACTGTTTTGGATTGCCTTTCTCATCAAACTGTTGAAACTTTGGGGGTTGGTAGTCTATTGGCATCTGTATCTCGTCAATTCGTCGGGAATATGGCTTCGCATATACTAACGAAGACTGGGGAGCTCCTCCATACTGGGCTCGAATGGTATCAGCAATCATATGTTGAAGTTGTTGGACAGAAAATGCGACAACAGACATTTGAGAAGAATCTCGCATGATATTTTGTGCCACGGCTCGATCATATTGCTCTTGTTTTTTGTTGTTGTTCTAAAAACTTTGAATTTTCTGGCATTTTAGTACCAGACAGACTTGAAGTTTCTTGACTACTTCCTTTTAAAGGTTCTTGCAATTCAAGCCGGTTCATGAATGCAACGATTTGCATTTCTTTACCTTCAAGGGCCTTGGTCAACTTCTCAACCGTAATAGTGAGTTGTTGAAGATGTTCTTCAGATGAAGTGACTTTCGTCACCATCACAGGCATAGGAATATCAGAGGCCGATGAATAATCACCCCACTTCTGTTTAGGAGAATTTCGGAGTAAGATTCAGTCTTCGAGCCTATACTGGAGTGTGTGTCAGGCAAAGAATCGTCCATCTCTTCCTCCAAATCGATAGAAGAATGAGTAGGTTATCTTTTTATTCTTGGAAGAGCATTCCTTTTGCTTTGCCTAGATCGATGCTCCATCGGTGGCAAAAGTTGAGATTTACCCGCTTTTGTTTTGGCACGGGTTATTAGAATTGACTCCTCGGCCAGGTCCGCTGACTTGTTGGTGGGAGGAATCACGATGTCTTTTGTTATCATTGTTGTCAGGTTTGTTGACTTGAGAGATGAGAAGAAGAGAAGGTCCCACTGGGCGTGCCAAAATTTGTAACGACAAAATTTGTGAGGTAAATTAACACAAAATAAGGTCAAATTACAATAGTCAATTTGATTGACTTTAAGTAAAAAATGTAGTGTTGACTCTCTTTAACGTGCTTCTCACGTGCACTTTCCTCTAATTCTCAGTGGATTTGATGATGATGAGGGCCGGATCGACGTATTTCTTGATATTTGATTTGGTGTTGACTGTAGTAAATTTGATGAAGTCAAGGGCTTGACCAGTGTGTTCCTCAATCTTCGATTTGGTGATGCTTTGGTAGATTTGTTGAAGACGAGAGTCGGATTGATGTGGTTCTCATTCTTTAATATTTGATTCGGTCGATTTGTTGAAGACGAGGGTCAGATGACGTGAATCTCGTTCTTTGATATTTGATTTGGTGGATTTGTTGGATCTTCTCACCATTCTTTATGTTGAATGACTGAAAGATGATTTGAATCTTTTGAAGAAGAACCTTGATGGTTTGTTCTTCTCCTCTTAAGATGGATTTGCAAGACTTCGGTTAGAGGTAGACTCCAGCAGAGCTTCGCTGCTGATCTTCCCTTCTCCTTCTGAGATGGACTCGGGCAAAACTTCTTGATCTTCCCTCTTCCTCAGCTACTCTTCTTGGCCCCCATTTTATTCTCTCCTAGACCTCTATTTATAATGATAGGAGTAGTTATCCATATAAGAGTCCTTATTACTTTTATATGGGTTTTAGGTAGTGGGCTACTCACAAATTTGTAGACTTTAATTAATTTATGAAATTTAAGTCCATCACATTTTACCTTTTGAAACTTTATTTAATTTGGGCCTACGAAATTTAAGTCTATTTCAATTTAACAAGCTTGATTAATTGCATTTGGGCTTGTATTATATAGGTTATGGAATTTAGGTTCAGTTTAATTTAATTTGACAAGCCTTATTAATTAAATTTGGGCTATAGAATTTAGGTCTAATCTAATTTTATTTATCTAATTGATATTAGTTCAATTGTAAACATTAATTTACTAATTTTTAAATATCTACAGTTGCATTATGAGACGAACAATAGAGATTGGTGCTCCACCAATAGAGCTTATGATCAATGTATGCTCTAAAAAAAAGGGTATGACGGGGTTTTGGACCCTATGTTTGAGTAAGGGTTCCAAACCCTCCAAAAAAAAAAAAGTAGAAATATCAAACGTCTAAATGAAAATAATTACTAAGTACTAGTAACCAACAACCCGTTGCCTTTAGGGGCTGTTTGGTAAGTGGGATTGGGGGCTTCAGAAGATTGGTTAGGAAAAAATAGTCTAAATGACACATAAAATCTTTTTTTGACCAAAAATTTGAAGCCTGAGTTACTAAGCCCAGCCCGCTATTGACCCGAACGTTAAACCTTAAATCATGGGTTTCATCAAACCCATGGGGGGTGGGTTTCAGATGAGGGTTAACGGATTCAGGATACAAAAAAACAATTATACCCCATATGTATACAAACATGAGTTTATATTAGATTGGTGAAGGGGCAAAATAGTTGTTTATATATTAATATATTATTATAACAGTGATATATCTGTGGGCATACCAAACATGGGTATGAACTGCATTTAATGTTGAATATCATCTTTGTAAAGAAGGGTTTAGGCTTGAAAGGGTTTGGAGAAGTCAATCCAAACCCTTCCCAAAAATCCATTCAAACAAGTAGGGATGACAGTAGACTGGAGAAAAATGGGTATTCGTCAAACTCACGCCCGTTTGGACCGGGGATAGACTATATGTATTGGACGGTAGACGTATACGAAGATATCCGTATAAACCCGTGTAAGAATGAAGGCGGGGATGGACTTACCCTTACCCCCGCCCATATATATATATATATATATATATATATATATATATATAGGTCATTACATTGATCACGTATAGGCTTTTTTACTTACTGAGAGAACAATTTAGTTAGGGGTAAAATCACGTATAGGTCATTACATTGATCAATTACTTCTTCATTACATTCTGTATTTTTTTACAAATTAAAAAGGAGTTCACTAGATGAAATTTCTTGGCATAGGTGTGTTTATAAATTTTTATTAGAAGTTCTAGAATCATAAATACCTTTTACATTGAACTTTTATCATCCTTTACTTGCATTCCATGTATGATGTCATTAATGGATGTCATAATTTCAGAACACATAAATGACATATCTGTGGGTTCCTTTTTTCTATCATTTTAGCAAATGTTTTTGGAACATTATATGGGCAATGGCCTTGTTGAAACAGACCACAACAATTTCCATGAAATTGTAGCTAATTATCTCTCAGAATAATTTCTCTTGTTTCAACATAATTGAATGCAAAGAAAAGAAGACACACTTTTTATATTGTTACTAATTGGTTAGCTTTTTCTAACTACATAATTTTTAATAAGGGTTTATAATTTAATGTCATGTTGTTGATAAGAGTCTTATGACCTATCAAATGAGGGAATCAATTATTCACGAAATCAATCATGTCTCGATGATGATTGATTTTGCAAGAGTTCAAAAAGATCAATAATTTTCAAACATAATTGATGAGTCTTTTTTATATACATAATTTTTAAGAAGGGTCCAAAAAAGAAGAGATTAGGAAATTTATCTTGGAGATGGTTGTTTAACCCTTCTATAAACATAATCATCCTCCAATCTTAACAAAGGATGAGACCCGTACCTCAATTCTTCAAGAAAGATAATGACTCCATGGCTAGTAAAGCTCATTGTGGAAAATATGGAGTACCCAATGGACCACAATGGACAAAGTGCTAGCAGAATAAGGGCCAAGGACCGTTCCGTCATTTAGCAAACCGGAAGGATATTATCGTCATTTAAAAAGCCCCGCTCTTTTCGAATGACGATAGCAGCTGCCTCCCATATCTCTTCAGTTTTAAATTTTATTTATTTTTTGATCGGTTCAGTTTTTGAATTCAATCGCAACAAACCCGCGGTTTGATGACTCCCTAACCTACGCCCTGTGCGCACTGTACACCTTCATGCATTAACTTACGTGTCGTGGTGGTGGCTTGTTTTAAGCCGACGTGCGACATCACAGAGAAGGTGCGCAGTCACGCAGGTGGTGCATTTTACCATCAGTCACTTTTTTTCCAATTTCCCACCGCTTTCTCTCTCCTCGTTCGTGCTTAAAACACACACCTCAAGTCCTCAACTGCTTCATTTCTGTTTCTCTCTCCTCCCAGTGATCTGCCTTTTCACACACTGACCTTCTCTCTCCTCAGTCGTGCTTAAAATAAATACCTCAAGTCCTCAACTGCTTCATATTCTGTCTCTCTCTCCTCCCTGTGATCTGCCTTTTCACACACCGACCTTCTCTCTCTATTCGTCCGTATCCGGATATATACACAATATTTATTTCGATCTGCGGAACCGTCCTTGTCAGTATCTTCTGATCTCAAAACCTTTGTTAATATGGATAACCTCTTCAAAATCGATTTTCTTGCCTCAATTTCATTCGAATGAGCTATGAATTTGAGTATGTTCTTGCACAAACTCGAGCAAGAGATCTCATTTGGATTCACTTTTTCAGCTTTGGATGTTGTTCAGTTGATGTAAATTTGTGTCTGAAGCGGCTCTCGAAGATCCCACTGTTCCTTCAATATTGCAAAAGCTGCATGAATTTTCTCTCTACGAAACGTCTCCGTCTGAGGTCTGGTTCAAATTAATGTATATATGGAGCTATGCAAGCTTTGAGTTCGCGAAAATTTGAGATTGAACTGATATTTGAAGATTTCGTTGAATTGTTCTTTTCGTTTTTGTATCTATAGAAAGGGAAATGCGTATAAAGCTTCGTTTCTTGAAGTCTTTGATCGATCGTAAGAATTTGCAGCGATTTTGCGGTCGATTGGGTGCCGCACTATTCGTTTTCTCAGGAGATGCAAGTAGTTGAGATTTGAGTGTTAGGAGAGAGAAAGAAAAGAAAAGCGTGCGAGTGAAATTTTTGTCGCTAGTTTTGATTACTCACGTGAAGGTTGTGAAAATGCCTCATCGAACGACTTACTTCTTCCCAAGGCAATTCGAGAACCGTGGATTCGATGAATCATCAAAGTTTCTGTTGGATCACGAGAAGAAGATTAACAGAGACACCTCTAATGGCATTGACAGTGACCAGCGGAAGAAAGAGTCAAATATTTCAAAGGAGGTCACATTTGGCGGTGGTGAAAAGGACTCGATTTCAACTGTAGCTGATCGCTTCACGGGCGATAAAATTCACGAAAAGCAATTAGCCACTTTCGTCAATTGGTTGCAAGAAAAAAGAGGAGAGAGGTCAAGTCACGTGAAAATCAAGTTAAATCACCGTGACGACGATCATGATAATGATCATGAGCATTTACTTCCGCCGACGACTGTGGAATCAACGGCCGGTACCGGTGAAGAAAACCGTTATGATCCCCATGTGACGTTGCAGAAACAGTCGATTGGTGGTGTGAGAAGCACTGAGGTGACTGGTACTACTAAAGCGCGGGGGTTCGATCGGCAAGGGTCATTGCAGAGGCTGCCGAGTGGGAGTAGTTATGCGGGTAGTTGGTTTTCGGGGACGACATTGGATGGAAATTGGTCGAGTGGTGTCAAGGATTCGCAGGTGTCGACGACGATCGAAGAGGAGGAGAGTGGTAGGAGTAATTTGGCCCAGAGGTCGAGGGAGAGCTATTACTTGCTGCTCACGATTGCTAAACGGCTCACTGAGGAAGCAACGATTGCCAGTGAGCCTATGCTTCTCCAAGACTCTGGAAAGGTGGGCCTTGGTGGATCTTCTGATGCAGAAATTGTCTCCTATCGACTCTGGGTATTTTCTTCTTTCTCTTTTTTTTTCCTTTCAAAAACATGTTTCTAATTTCTGTAATCTTTTACAGTTTACTTTACACCATTCTTTTAACTGTTGACACTGATTATTTGTCAATCTTTTGTTTCTAACTATCGACTTTCTTGTGTCTTCATACGATCATACTTATGACGCTTTCTGGTTCAATCACTTCGGTTTTGTAGTTCTTGCAAGTTGGCGTTTTTCATCTCAGTGCCTGAAGATTAGTCTCCTTTCCTATTACTTCGTCTACATTTTGGTCAAAATGACGCTAGTGTGTCTTTTTCTTACTTTTTCAAATCATGTTTGGTTTCGTCGTGGCAACATCTTCGGCAGAGACCTTGTCACTCATCACAAACGCATGTCGTTTTCTCTTCCCAGTGTATGTTTTCTTGGATGACGTGAAATTTTAATGAATTTACTCAATCAATTAGAAGCTGCAGTTGAGAATTTTCAAATCCTAAACAAAATTCTGACGTCTTCCCAGCTAATGAGGCATGATTAATGGATTATAGTTGGTGATAGGATATGATAATCTTGGTGAAGTATTCAATTTCTAGCTTGAAATCATAGTTGAACATTGTTTCAATAACGTGCTGCACCTCCTAAATATTCTTAACCCTTTTTCTCTGGATAATGCTATTAGAACCTAAAAAACTGACTTAATTTACTAACATAATAATTTGTCAATTGATGGAGTCCCAATAAAAAAGTCCAAATGTTACAGGTGAAGTATTCAATTTCTAGCTTGAAATCATAGTTGGACATCGTTTCAATAACGTGGTGCACCTCTTATAAATTTCTAACCCTTTTTCTCTAGGTAATGCTATTAGGACCTAAAAAACTGACTTAATTTACTAACATAATAATGTGTCAATTGATGGAGTCCCAACGAAGAAGTCCAAACCAAATGTTACGGTCACAATATTATTATCAGCAAATTATGTTAGTTTTTTATGCCCCACCAGTATTACTCTTTTTCTCCCTTCTCAGCAATATTTACTTTGATTCATGTGTTAATGCATGCAAATCTTAACTTTCAGGTAAGTGGTTGCTTGTCATATACTGATAAGATGTCAGATGGATTCTACAATATTTTGGGAATGAATCCATACTTGTGGATGATGTGCAATAACTTGGAGGAAGGTAAGCGACTGCCATCTTTGGCGGCACTTAAAGCTATGGAGCCCATTGATACACTGTTGGAGGTGGTTCTTGTTGATAGACGAGGGGACACACAGCTTAGGGAGCTAGAAGATAAAGCACAAGAAATCTTTTTTACTGCAGAAAATACCTTAGCATTAGCAGAGAAACTTGGCAGACTTGTTGCTGACCATATGGGGTAGGTTTCAACATTACTCTTTAGTTTACAACTTGATCCTTCACCTTTTTTTGTCGTAAGAATGTTAAGTTTGTTGGAATTAAGGGGCTGTTTTCCAGTGGAGGAAGGTGATGTCCACATGCGCTGTCAATTGGATAGCAAGAGATTGGCTGATATCCAGAAGTGCGTTGTGCTCCCAATTGGTAGCCTATCTGTGGGACTTTGTAGGCATCGTGCGATTCTATTCAAGGTGACAATATATACTGCTTGTGTTCCATTATTGGGGAAAAAGAAATCGATAGTTCTTTAGCTGTTTCTTTTAGGGCATTTCAAGCACTACTACTGTCTCTGTGGTGAAGTAAAAAAACTGATGAATGTTGTATTGTATATGTATGTATAACGTTTCCAGTTGGTAATTAATTTCCAATGTAGTGAACTCTTAGTTATTGCCATATAATTTACGATCCATGGCTTCATAAATCTTTGATAAAATATTTAAGCAGGTGACTTGATTTGATATGCAGAAATTGGCTGACTATGTGGGTTTGCCTTGTCGGATAGCTCGAGGGTGCAAGTATTGTGCGGCAGACCATCGATCATCCTGTTTAGTGAAAGTTGAGGATGACAGAAAGTTCTTGAGGTAAGATACTCCTTGTTTGCTTCAAAGAATGTAAACTTTCTAGGCATCCAAATGGAATAAGGAATAATATCTGCAGTTCTTTCTAGACATATGACCTTATCCATATTTTTTGTGCGGGTGCATCCTTTGTCTTCTAAACATAATCAATGGGCTGGGTGTGAAAAGTGTAGTTGTCTTATTCTTACTGCAGTGGATGCCATTATGCCATCTGCTAACTGAATGAGCATTTGAGTTGTTCTTCCAAAGAAATTTTATATTTTTAAGCAAATTTCTCAAGGTATGGGATGATAATGTAGTTTTATATTTATGTTTCTTATTTGTGTTGGGACTCATACTACCTTTGAAATGCTGCACAGCATGCATCAACTAGCTCTTCCTATGGTACAGTAGTGGGCCATGACTCTGCTCCTACCATATGATTTTCTTCACATGCTTGGTTTATGATTTCACGAGGATATTAGGGTGTTGAAGAGTTTGATATCATCTTACTATGCACTTTGGAGTTGTTTGACTTGTTTCGTTGTGCATCATATGTTTCATTCATATCAGAGTGTTCTTATGTCTGGGCTTGGATACCTGTCTGATGAATCCACGAAGTCTTTGAAAAAAATTCGTTGAAATCTTGTATTTCACTTCTTCTTGTTTACAAATGCATCTACTTCTTGACAGGGAATTTGTAGTAGACTTAGTTGGGAAACCAGGAAATGTCCATGGGCCAGATTCCTCAATCAATGGAGTTGTATTTTGTTCGATGCCTTCACCATTTCAGATTTCTCATCTAAAAGAATTCCAACAATCTTACGTGGATGATATATCATGTTGTCAATTCCCCTACTCAAAGCAAACATGTGCTCCTCTCGAAGAGCGTCTATATGCAGGTTTGCATACCTTGATATATGTCATTCAAGTTCTATGTGCACCTCAGGATTAATAGCCTCAGGATGTTTGGGTTCTGATAGCTTTGGTTAAAATCATGGAACAAATCCTTTGACACTGTGAATCTTGATGAAGTAATAACACACTAACACCCATTACAGATCAGATAACTTAATGTTCCCTAGTATTTGTGACTTGCNCTTTGACACTGTGAATCTTGATGAAGTAATAACACACTAACACCCATTACAGATCAGATAACTTAATGTTCCCTAGTATTTGTGACTTGCAGTGTGACTTTTGTGTTCCAGACAATCTCTGGTGATGTCTATAATCTCATGAATAATGACCTCTCTCCGCTGACTGCTGAGTCAACTATTTTGTGATTAAGTGGTCTTATTAAAGCAAAACGTGTGCTCATCAGTGTTCATATTGTCATTTTGGCTCTAAATGCAACATTTGGAACTTCATTTGATGGTCACTGGGGGCATTATTTGTGTCAGGGTCCATGGGATGTACCCCATTATCCCTTGGTGTTAAACCACCAATTCATCTAAAAACTCAGGCTGATAATTTATTAATACTCCTCATCATGTGTGGCCCTCTTTGGTGATTGTCCACTGTGATTGTTGTGTATTAAGGAAGGTGGAATTGGTATGGTTGGCTGCAGATGGCCACAAATTGTGAATATAAAACTAGCAAAATTATCTTGGTATCAAATTTTTTACCTCAGTAATGAAACTCACTTTTGAGATCAATTTTTCTCAGGCAGTAAGGAGGATCATTTAAATGATGATTTTGGCTTGCTTGAAAATCCAAAAGAGGCTTTATACAGTCCAATTGATCAACGTGGAGGAGGTGAACTGCCTGAAACTCTGGATGCTGCGACTGTTGCTGCTGGAATAGTACATGAATATTCAAAACCTCGAGGGGAAAAAATTGTTATTCGACAGACTTGCAAAAAAGAGGGGGTGATGGCGAGTGGCCCAGTTGTAAGCACTGCGGTCAAACATCATGATAAAGTACCCTCTAGTAAATCAGATTCAATGGAGGTTAGGAGTCGAGGTGAGCATCGAAGGATATTTCCTGCTCCAACCATTCCAAGATACTTGAATCTCGAGCCTTCTCTTGCAATGGATTGGCTTGAGATCTCATGGGATGAATTACAAATAAAGGAGCGTATCGGTGCTGGTACTTTTTCATCCAGTTATTCATTGCCTATTAACTTCTTCCCTAATGAAATTGGACTTTCTCTTTCTGTAGCTATTATGGGAAATAACATAAAGGTTGTTCTGCCTCTCAGGATCGTTTGGAACAGTGCATCGGGCTGAGTGGCATGGATCGGTTAGTATTATCTTTTGCGTTTTCAGTACTGATTGTCAATTCTGTTTAGGGTGGATAGTCTGACTCTGTTGGTAAGCGAAAATGTGACGCTATCTTCTAAATCATATGTTTATAAGAAAGTACGATGGATATTCATCATTGTTGTCAGGTCGTATACTTAAAATAGTAGATGAATACATTTTGTGGAGTGTTGTGAGCATATAGGCTATGAATGTTACTCTTATGGGGGCATGATGCTGAACCAGATGGTGGAATTAAAGCTTGTGATTCCCACACCAAATTCAACACATGCTTAATGGAAGTCATTCAGTCCTACAGGAAAAATCCCCAAGAGACATCCTGACCAAACAACTTGCAGCTAACCTTGTTTCTTGGGTTGCCCGGTGATACGCATATGCATAAATGAATATAATGTGCCTGTGTGTGTGTTGTTTATTGGCTATTTTATCTTTCACTTGCCATCAACTTGCTTTGCTTAGGTTGCTTTCATCTTGATCAGTGGTCTTTCCCGATGATTGATCCCTAGATCACAGGCAAGCTAAGTTTGCAAGTATTTTGTTTCTCTTCTATAGATGCCCTCCCTTCTTAGTAATCTCTGCTGATAAGTGCGATGTGTTCTTGGCTATGTAATCACCCTNAAGTATTTTGTTTCTCTTCTATAGATGCCCTCCCTTCTTAGTAATCTCTGCTGATAAGTGCGATGTGTTCTTGGCTATGTAATCACCCTGTTTTCATTATGCTGCCATTGAGTGTTAATGTGTTCTTGGTGACATAATCACCCCGTTTTCATTATGCTGGCATCGAGTGTTAATGTGTTCTTGGCGCGTATTCACCNCTGTTTTCATTATGCTGCCATTGAGTGTTAATGTGTTCTTGGTGACATAATCACCCCATTTTCATTATGCTGGCATCGAGTGTTAATGTGTTCTTGGCGCGTATTCACCCTGTTTTCATTATGCTGGCATTGAGTGTTACAAACTAGCTTCCTTACCAAAGTTAAATATCATGCTCTCATTGCAGGATGTTGCAGTCAAGGTTTTAAGCACGCAGGATTTTCATGATGATCAGTTGAAGGAGTTCCTGAGGGAGGTATAGCGTNGAGTGTTACAAACTAGCTTCCTTACCAAAGTTAAATATCATGCTCTCATTGCAGGATGTTGCAGTCAAGGTTTTAAGCACGCAGGATTTTCATGATGATCAGTTGAAGGAGTTCCTGAGGGAGGTATATGTATAGTGGACTTGAATGATCATTTTTGACTTCATTATACTCATCATCATCATCTGCTTCTTCTTCTTTGTCATAGCCCTGTTGGCTATGCTCCTTGCAAAGTCCACATCCTTTTTTATGCTAGTGAAGCTATTTGTGTTTCTCTTCCTTTCGGCCTAAGAAATTAAGCCTTAAGAAACAATCATCCTCCCAACAATAATAAAGACCTAAAAGAAAAAGGCCCAAAGGAAAGAAAGGGAGGAAGGGAAAACCTCTCTGGTAGCGAGAATCCTTTTCGATATTGTAGAGACTATTTGTGTATTTCCATACTATAGTTTGGCCATCATTCTTGGCAACTCTTGCTATTGCATTTTGAATCTGTATTGTGATATGAAAATTTTAGGGACAATTTATACAGGCAAACAAACCTATGGAATGTGTGACTCGATGGACAAAACACTTTGTCCTTGAGGAAATTATATGCATGCATCTTTTTGTATGAAAACAGGTGGTTCATTGGAGGCATTTTTGTTCCAATTATATTTGTGTTTTGTAAGGTTGTTATGATGTTAAGTCTGTATAATCATATTTTAGATTGTAATTGACTTTTTTATTTATCTGAAGGTTGCAATAATGAAACGCGTCCGACATCCAAATGTAGTTCTTTTCATGGGTGCTGTTACAAATCGTCCGCATCTGTCAATAGTGACAGAATATTTACCCAGGTAAATGGGTGCTCAGTTCTCGTTTGACAATGTGAAAAGTGCAACTTTGTGTATTCTAATCTCAATTTCCATGGAACAGAGGTAGTCTATACCGCCTCATACACAAGCCAGCCGCTGGGGAAATGTTGGACCAGAGAAGGCGGTTACGCATTGCTCTGGATGTGGTTTGTGCTGATTCTTAGTGTTTTTATTTCCAGTATTACTAGCATATTCTGTGAGGTGATCTCTGATACAAGCTGCATGCAGGCCAAGGGGATCAATTATCTTCATTGTCTGAACCCACCTGTGGTTCACTGGGATCTTAAATCTCCAAATTTGTTGGTTGATAAAAATTGGACTGTGAAGGTACAACTGTTATCATAGCCCTCCTCCCTCCCCTCCTGCCCCCTCCGGGTCTCCCCACAGCCCACAAAATAAATATTTTTCTCCCCTTAGCCTGCCTCAAAATTTATTTCATATTATATATCATTCTCAGGTATGCGATTTTGGTTTGTCAAGATTTAAAGCCAACACATTCATGTCGTCAAAGTCTGTTGCTGGAACAGTAAATCTCTCTCTCTCTCTCTCTCTCTCTCTCTTGCACAAACACACAAACTATTACTTATTGGGAGATGGAAAAATAATCAAAATAGTTGTTGGACAGTTAAACTTTGCTCCCATAAGTAAAAGAACCTCTGATCTCAGCACCCATGCTTTCTCCCCAACTCATTTTGCAATTATTATTCATAAGTGACGTCATAAATCTTTAAGGCCATGCTTGGTTGGAATGAATTTTACTTTGATAAGTAGGCCATCTATAGCTCTTGTTTGACTAGTTCCCAAGGGAATCTGCAAGTGGTCTAGAATTTCCAAGTCTTCTAATTCGTAAATTTGTTCTGGACATAATAACCTCCTTGTAACTCTGTTTTTGGCTGAACTGTCCTTACAATGTAACTTCCCCCAAAACCATGTAGAACCAGTTTCTCCAACTGCAGAATATGTGGTAGAAATTGAACTATTGTTGTAAAACTACCTTACTTCCAAATGCAATTATTGGCACTTCGAGATACTCCTGAGCTGGCTGGGCATGACTGGGATGTAGAGGAGATTGTGGCAGGTGGTTATAGGCTTGTAGTTGATTGTTTCAACTTTCAATGATATCTGTACATTGTTGCCTCAAAATTGAAGACGTAGACCAAGATCAAGAATTTTTCTTACGAGGTGTTTTATCACTTGATTGCTTTTATTTGAGCATTTTCTTTGAGTGTATTAGTTAATATGTAATTCTCTTGCTTTTTGTTTCAGCCTGAGTGGATGGCTCCTGAGTTCCTTCGTGGAGAGCCCTCGAATGAGAAGTCTGATGTTTACAGTTTCGGAGTAATTTTATGGGAGCTTGTGACCATGCAGCAGCCTTGGAGTGGACTTAGCCCTGCCCAGGTTTATTTTGACAAGCATTTGAGATCTATATCTGTTCAATTGGTGGTAGTTGCTACTACCAGCTCTTCTTGTTGTTCCTTCACAATTGGAAAAATGTTAAAATAGGGAAGATTTCATCCACACCTCTCTAGTTTATCCTAGATCAACCGGCACCCTTGTTCTTATCTAAAATTTCGTTGAACCCTTGGTAAAAAAAAGTAACGATAATGTTGGTTGGACGCAATTGCTCTCGAAACACTTGAACATCTATCTATTTGTACGTACAATATCTACCTACAGTAGATAAAAAAATGGCGCCCCAATGTACAAGTCTCTCGCTATTGTGGGGTGTCAGTGGAGGGTCTATATAATATTATTTACCTCTAATAGATGTATAGTGTACTGCATTTGATGTGTGCAACATAAAAAGTATCAATCTAGATGCAATTTTTAGGTTTTTTATTTAAGTAGATTTTCTGCTAGTATTTTATTTAATTAGATATTCTGTTGTAATTTATTGGATTATTATTAAATGATATTATATTATCATCACATTAAATAACAGAAGGGTTAAATTTATATTATCTAAAAAATCTTTGGCGTTATCACCATCTTTTATGTTGTTGGCGACAAGGGGGTGAGAATATTTTTTCATATTAAATGTTTTTTCATGGGGTGATTTTTGAAATGCTCTCTTTCTAGATCCTCTCTCTGCACAAACACGCACATACTTCTTGGATTGACATACCTCACAATTTTTCAGGTGGTTGGAGCTGTTGCTTTCCAAAACAGAAGGCTCGCCATCCCCCAGAACATCTCTCCAATATTGGCTTCCCTCATGGAATCTTGTTGGGCCGAGTAAGACTCTTCTGCTATAGTTGGAACTCCTAAAAAATAATAATAATCAACAAAATCTAGTAGATTATGGCTCCCCTGACTGATTATATGACTACCTTATTTAAAAGTATTGGAGATAAATACACTTTGCTAAACAATTTCGCAAGAGCATAGATTTGCCTTGGTTGTCTTTGTTTTTGATGATTGGGATGAATTGTCTTTCCAAAATCAAGTTGACCCAATTTTATGCTCGACTCAACTGTTTACATTTTCATGTAAACGGATCATATTATTTTTTGGTTTGTCTAGTAGTAGTAAACCCTAACATCAACTCATGTTTTCAAGCCATGAATTACCACCCCTAGTTGTTTGTTCACCACTTTGTACCTGTACCATTACTAGGATGTAGAAGAGAATGTGTGAAATTTAGTAGCACAGCAGATTCTGTCTTCTTAAGAACGCTTTGGGCATCATTGGTGAGACAACATTATTGGTGTTAACAAAGAACATTCATGGAGAATTCCTTGATTTTTTTTCTGTTCTTGGAATTTATGTCCTTGACTAAGTCTCCTCCTTAGTTAATTAAGCCATGATAAATTATGTTCTTTAGTATGTCAAAACCGGAGTTAAATGAGAGCTTCTTAGTAAGTGGGAGACCAAGTGAACACATTGAGGTATGTAGATTACTTCATGGGCAATATGAAGTCTTGTATGTAAAATCTGTAAGACCCAAAGAGGTAAAGAAAGAAAGCCTGCGCCTGCCCTGAGGCCAAATTTGTGAAATGAAATTGCTTCTCAAACCTAATTTAGAGGGATTGCTTTCTCCTTTAATCTTCAAAGAATGCCGGCTTTCTTTGTTGCGATGGATTGAATGTGCATTAGGCATTACAAAATATGGGTTGTGAGCAAGGATTAAAATTTTGTTTCAATGCACAATTTCGGTGAGCTTAGAAACATAAATGTTTTGGAACATTTCAAAAACAGGATGAAAACAAAAAAAAATGTAAAAATTTATTTTCAAAACATACCAAAACATTTCGAAACTTACCGAAACACCTAGAAACATAGGAATTTTTATATTTAATTAATGATTTGTTTTGGTTTCCATGAAAACGTAAATGTTTCGGACTTTACGATTGTTTCGAAACAAAATTAGTTCCTTGGCTGTATGTCTTCTCCAAGTAACTAGTTAATTTTCTTTGCTTTCAATTATAGCTCACCTATTATCTCATGGTTTTGTTTTTTTACCTTGGCAGAGACACTGATCAGCGGCCCTCTTTTGCTAGTATTGTTGAGACACTTAAGAAGTTACTGAGGTCTCCACTGCAGCTGATACAGATGGGAGGATCATAGAAACTTAATATGCTCCGCTATATGTAGACCTCTTGCTTGCTGATTTTGGAGATGTCACCACCTATGGTCACACAAAATGCTGGTGTCTATACTTACTGTACTGACCGAGCCTTACTGTTTTAAGACAACAATTACAGATATGCTTGCTTGTGTCCTTTTCATCAGATATGTTGCTTGTCTGTTTGAAAGGTCACTGCATACATGTTGGAGTTGTATATCTACGTAAAAGGGTTGTAATCAGACGGGAGAGCAGGAGGAAAACTCGGTAAGCTCCTCTCTCTGCTAATCTTGAATATGAATAAATTCAAGGCCAAACTGGGAATGTATTTTTGTTGCCATGCTAGTCGTATAGGCTGTGTATCAGTGGGACGTGCAATTCAGTGTCGTAAAGACTCGGTGATCCTGAGGATGTTTCTTATAAATTTCAAGGGCATCCAACACTAATACAGCACATTTGTCTTTTTATTTTTTTAATGTGTTAGATGAGTGAATAGCTTCTTTTTTCCATTTCTTGTTTTGTTTTACCAATCAGTGTTATGTTGTGAAACTTGTTATGCAAGAGTTTATAGCATTGAGATCCCATCAAAATCTGTTAGCTCGTCTTTAATGGTACTAGTTATTGCACATGTGTATTATACGTGAACTATATAGAGTTATAATTAAGTTAGGATACTTATTTAGAGGATTAAATTAAACTATGATTATCGAATAAATCACTTCTTTGAGGGGAATATAAATTAAATTACTAATACGAAGCTAGACTATAGAGTATCGAAAGTAATTATATTATTTGACTTTCAGATAACTCTTGCATTTATTTTACCGCACTGTAATATTTTGTAATTCATATATTCACTTCACTTTACTTTNTATATTATTTGACTTTCAGATAACTCTTGCATTTATTTTACCGCACTGTAATATTTTGTAATTCATATATTCACTTCACTTAAATATTTATTTTTAGAATGTGTATGGTCTAACTTGTTGTGTACTAGAGGAAGATAAATTTGTTTTGAATTATTAAAAAGTTGATGTATATAACTTTTTTACGAAGATAAAAAGTTATGGGAATATTATGTAATTAATTGAAGAAGATTTAAGAGAGATTGATCAAGGTAATTTATTATTTTCACTTGCAAGGTGATAGGATTATTATTATTATTTTGGTATTACGATTAGAGTTGTTTGGATTAACTTACTTTGANTATTAAAAAGTTGATGTATATAACTTTTTTACGAAGATAAAAAGTTATGGGAATATTATGTAATTAATTGAAGAAGATTTAAGAGAGATTGATCAAGGTAATTTATTATTTTCACTTGCAAGGTGATAGGATTATTATTATTATTTTGGTATTACGATTAGAGTTGTTTGGATTAACTTACGTAGGNATATTATGTAATTAATTGAAGAAGATTTAAGAGAGATTGATCAAGGTAATTTATTATTTTCACTTGCAAGGTGATAGGATTATTATTATTATTTTGGTATTACGATTAGAGTTGTTTGGATTAACTTACTTTGAATAATTTTTTCTTCAATCAATTTAGTCAAAGACTCGTCCTTTAAATCATCTGTGTTCACTGGGTACTGGGTACATGTTGCCCTAAGAAAAAAGAAAATTTGTCAAGTTTCAAATTATGCCTGTGTCAGTTCATGAGAGTGCAATGGGAGGTGCTCACAACTTGTATCGTTGGAGAAGTGTTTTAATTTATCAAACAGAATCGAATACAATTTTTTTTAAAAAAAAATATCATCAATTACCAACCATTTCTTACCACCTGCTATCAACCAAAAGCAAAGTAAGTAATAACAGACCAAAAATTAATGAAAATTTTGTAACATTATTTCTTTGTGGTGCTGAAAATTATGTGTACAAAACGGTCAAGCCACAGGTTCCATCTACAAAACCNAAGCAAAGTAAGTAATAACAGACCAAAAATTAATGAAAATTTTGTAACATTATTTCTGTGTGGTGCTGAAAATTATGTGTACAAAACGGTCAAGCCACAGGTTCCATCTACAAAATTCATACCAGTATAAATTAAACAATAAAAACTATTTAGACGTAATTTACTGATTTAATTCATTATAATTAATAGATTGATTGCAGATTCCAACAAATCTGGATATCCGCCGTCAATCTAATAATTATGAGTTCTCAAATAAGCAAATTAGGCCATTAAAATTAAATTAGATGGAAGTAACATTGCTATAAATTGAACCATTTTGTTTCTTACAAATCCAAACTTTGGGCTAACCTTTAGAGACACCAAGCTCCACATCTTTGGCTGCAATTTCCTCAACTCCTTCCTTTAACAATTTCATATCCTCTTCTGATAGAATGTCTTTACTTGAGATCAACTTGGAACCACCTTGCTTCGCAGTCTCCACAGCCCAACTATAAATCACCATACCAATAACAGCAATAGCCATACCCAGAATGTTCTTCAATGTCAACTCTGAATCGAAAAGCAACCACCCCAACATCAACACACAAACTGTTTTCATATGCCCCAAAACTTGGAACGAAACAGCCGAAAATCGGCCGATGCAGAGGTACTGGCTCACATTGCAGAACACTGCTAGGGAGCATGAGAGCAAGATGAAGAACATTGCACCAGAAGACAAGGTATAGTCCGATATGGATTTGCCATTGAGGTAGTAATCGATGAAAGGACCAAGAAAAAGGAGAGAGATTGCTTGAATTGGGGCTGTTTTGCTTAGCAATTCAAATGAGCCTATTGAGTACTTTTTTTGTAATGAACCAATTGAAATTTGTTGGAGAGATGAAGAAATTACTGCCACTAAGGCGCAGAAAAAACCTTTTGCGTTAACTTTGACGTCCGTAACGGTGCAGACACCGACGCCGACCACCACTACAGCCACCGCCGCCTTGACTTGCGTCGAATAACGTTTTCCGTGAAGAATCCACTCCAGTACACAAACCACAGGAATCATGCTTAGCTTTGAGATCTGGTAAAATCCTACGGAATTGAGCATGAGACTAAGGTTCATTCCGGTGATCGAAGTATTGGCAACGATGGAGAACCAGAGGAGCTCCCAGAACGGAACGTGCTTTGAGGCGGAGTAACCAGCGGCGTTTGAGACTAAACCGACCAACGCCGTCACGGAGAAGTGGAAGCCGGTCAAGGTGGTGGCGTAGCTGAAAGCGTAGCCGCCGGGGGACATTAGTTGCTTGTTAGCCATTATAATCCCGACGGAGCTTACAATGTTCATCGCCCACGCGCCAACGTCGGAGACAGCAGACGGTTTCTTCTCCTTCTCCATCGCCATCTCGATCTCCGACCTCCGGTAAGCACAAATTGTACAAGAAACTAACCAATTAAAAATTGAAACTGGTACAGCTCCAATCGATTCAAGAACGAGAGAAACAAGAAAAATCAGAGGAGAAAACGAAGGGAGATAGATCTAAGAAGCAGATCTGTATTCGAGAGCTTTAAAAGGGCATACAGTGACTCGTTTGNAACGAAGGGAGATAGATCTAAGAAGCAGATCTGTATTCGAGAGCTTTAAAAGGGCATACAGTAACTCGTTTGTCTCTCNAGAAACAAGAAAAATCAGAGGAGAAAACGAAGGGAGATAGATCTAAGAAGCAGATCTGTATTCGAGAGCTTTAAAAGGGCATACAGTGACTCGTTTGTCTCTCTCTCTCTCTCTCTCCCTGTGTTTCCTTGTTCTATCGGCAACAGACTGGATGTTTCTCTCTCTCACATGGATGTTTCTTTTTCCCACATGGATGTTTCTCTTTCTCACCTTTAAGTTTGGGGGAAGTCTATGACTCTATGGTAAGAATTTTTTAGTTTAGATATGTACCATTATTATAATTTTGTGATTTATTTTTAAATTTTTTAAAAATTATTTATAATTTTTGAGAGTAATTTATAATTACAATATTTAAGAATTTTTTACAATTTTTTGACATCATTTAAAATTCTTTATGTTACTTATAANGAAGTCTATGACTCTATGGTAAGAATTTTTTAGTTTAGATATGTACCATTATTATAAATTTTGTGATTTATTTTTAAATTTTTTAAAAATTATTTATAATTACAATATTTAAGAATCTTTTACAATTTTTTGACATCATTTAAAATTCTTTATGTTACATTATTTGATTATAAAAAATTGGGCAAAATTCAGTTTATCCTATTGTGGTTTGGGTATTTTGCACATGACCTTATGATTTGAAAATCAGAACATTACCCCCTTATGTTTTTGGACTAAAATGCACAATTAACAAAGTAATAAAATGACTTCAGTACCCTTAATTATTCATCATCATCTTCTTCCCTCTCAATTGTAGTCTAATTTTCTGAAAAATCAACTAACCACCCAACTTTACAAGTTTTTCTCTCTTTCCACAAAGTACCAAACTTCCTTAAAGCAACGCTAATATCCTCCACTTTCAACCTAGTTTTAAACCCCACGGACTTGTTTCCTTAAATAGCCCCTATGACCCACAAATTTAAGCTCAAAGGTGATCACAAACTCATTTTGACAAATTACGTGNTATCCTATTGTGGTTTGGGTATTTTGCACATGACCTTATGATTTGAAAATCAGAACACTACCCCTTATATTTTTGGATTAAAATGCACAATTAACACCGTAAACAGAAATAATAAAATGACTTTAGTACCCTTAACTATTCATCACCTTCTTCTTCCCTCTCAATTGTAGCCTAATTTTCTTAAAAATCAACTACCCACAAATTTAAGATCAAAGGTGATCACAAACTCATTTTGACAAATTACGTGCATATCAGATTTTTTTTCAACATTTGGGCTAACTTTGGCCCTGAATTTCTCCTTCATTTCTCAACCTTTTTGGGTGATTCAAATGCCTAAATTTAACTTCTTTCTACTCTCTTTCCAACCATATATTTAGTTTGTCTAAATCATGTACAAGGTAAGTGAAAATCGAGCTCTAAAGTGACAGGTTCATTATTTTCAAAAATTATCATGATTTTTAATTCAATTTTTCACTCACTAAACCTCATTCTTTCTCGATTCTAACTTAAAAAATGGATTCCTTGACCCTAAAAATAGTGGATTAGGCCCCCCTCACCTCCGAAACTCAAAATTTTGATTACCCAAAAATTCAAGTTTCAAGCTTAAACAATGGTCTTGATTTTCTCTTCCTTCCTCCCTTGCCCTCTCCTCTCTGCTCAAACCCCTTCTTCCCAGGCTCTCCTCGCCGCGACCAACGACATCAAAGCCACACCCCTTTCTGCACATAAAGACGATCCCACCATGATTATTGAACCTCTAACCATTAGTTATTCCTATGGTTTGAGTGGTAAGATGAATTTCACTTGAGCCGTGCATAGTGAAGAATCATCCACTTAATTTTAATTTTTAAAATTTTGTTGTTAAAAATTTTGATAAGGAAACGGTGCTTGGAGTGAATTGTCTGAGAAAAAATATGATAGTCAACTGTTGAAGAAGATGAAGATCGAAGAAAGGTATTATTGTACTTTTATTGTGCCTATTTTTGGAGGAAAAAAATTTTGTTATGTCAAATCTCTTTTTAGGCACGTGTGTAACATAGATGGTTTAATCTAATAGAAAAACTAACAATAACATTTTAGTCCAAAAGCATAAGGGGATAATGTGCTGATTTCTAAATCATAGGGGGGTCATGTGCAAAATACCCAAATCACAAGGGAATAAACTGGATTTTGCCCTAAAAAATTTCGGACCAATTTCAAATGACCCACAAAAATTGTCAACGAACTATAAAAGTTATAAATTTAACCATAAAATTTGTTAAAAAAATAAATTCGTGAACAAACTTAAAAACTTATATTTTAACCCATAAAACTTGTAAATTTTGGCAGTACCAAAACTTTTTATTCGGTACCATAATTTTCTCCTTAAGTTTGGGAAAAATAAAAGGTCAAGAGTAGGGCAATTAGTCAAACGATTTCGAGCCGAATTTAAAAAAATTATTTTTTAATCGATTTTAAAAAAATTATTTTTTAATCGAATCTAAAAAATTATTTAAGTTCGACTTTGAATGAGCTCAAAACAAGTCGAGTCCGAGCCAAATCCAAATATTTGCATATAAATGAGTCAAGTCTGTCGAGTTTGAACCGAACATGCCACACTTGTTTTTTAAACAAGCCTAAAACTTATTCAAGTTCAAACTCGTTTAGAAAACGAACCAAACTTTAATTAGTCAAATCTGAACCAAACTCGAGTAGCTCAATTAAATTAACATCATAGTCAAAAGTAAAATTTTGATACCATATTCAAAAGTTAAAAAAAAAAAAAACGTAATAAGTTTTACTTTAAAATGTCCCTAAAAAGTTATAAACTCTATCTAATAAAAGATAAATGAACTTAAAAAATTGTAAGTAAACCCAAAAAAAAAAATGCATACTCCAAAAATTAATAAATTATACCCAAAAATAATATTAATATATTTTTAAAAAAATATGATTTTTTTTTTAACGAGAGTCAAACCCTAAAGTTTGGTAGCCTTCTTGAAGGNAAAAAAAAAAAAAACGTAATAAGTTTTACTTTAAAATGTCCCTAAAAAGTTATAAACTCTATCTAATAAAAGATAAATGAACTTAAAAAATTGTAAGTAAACCCAAAAAAAAAAATTGCATACTCCAAAAATTAATAAATTATACCCAAAAATAATATTAATATTTTTTAAAAAAAATGATTTTTTTTTTAACGAGAGTCAAACCCTAAAGTTTGGTAGCCTTCTTGAAGGTTCCATCCTTCTGACTTTTCTCACCGTTAAGTTTGGCTGCCTCCCTCTGTTGTTTCTTTGAAATTCCATGTACACGTCTCGGAAGTTATAATCAGTTGGTTAGATGGTATTGAATATTTAGATGCTGAGTACATGGACGGGGGGGACATAGACATAGTCTTGTCTAATGTGTCAAAGCAAGAATTAATCGGTATAATAAAGACTTGAACTCAGCCATTAATCCAATCGCCGTCGTCTAGCATTAACGACTAAAAGAATTTTTATTGTTATTTTTTTAAAACTCGATAGAGGTTAACGGAGGCAAAAAATCAATGGATAGGTTGGGTTAGTAATGGACTAGTTTAAAATGGGTTTGGTGCAAGACAAATTCAATCAATTTTTAACCTATTTAAAAAATGAGTTATAATAACTTGGATCATAATAGATTAGGTTAAATTTAGGAGTGTTCAAATTTTCGATTACCCACAAATTTTGATTCTACCTTACCCTACTTGACTCTATTGATCAGTTACCCAAAAAAATCGATTAGGCCAACATAAATTTTTTTGGTATTCCACAAAAAATCGGATAAAAATGTGAAATACTTATAAAATTTACATATTCCTACTCTACCCAACCTGTATATATATAATCCCTAAAAATTAAAATTCAAAAATCTAGAAACTCTAATGTTTTATTGATGTTTATAACTTTCTTATATATGATGTATTGATATTTATAATTTTTTTGTTGTATTTTATTGTAATTGTTTATGTATTATCAAATTTATTGTATTTTCTTTAATGTTATTAGTTTTATTGTGTTACTTAATTACCGCATGTTATTTAATTAAATTATTAAAATGATCCAAAAAATAATAATTAAAAAATATGTGTTCATTCGATTTTCTATCCGGTTTCCTACTTGATTGTTTTGGACTAAATTCAAGTAGGAATAATATACTTGTTTGGATAGGATAGGCAAAAAAAAAATTCTTCCACAAAATATCGGATAGGAAGATGAAATACTATAATTTCTACCTGTAAGGTAGGATAAACACCCTAATTAAACTCATTAACCTGTAAAATAAATAAAATAAAAAATTGTGAATATAAATTTCAATTTCAATTTCAATTTAAGAGTGAAATAAGGGATAATAATTTATAATTTAAGAAATTAATTTAAAACAACTTTCAAGGTTTTTATAATTGAACAGAATAACACTGTTATGAATATTTTTTTAATTTTAAAAAATAATGGACTCAAGTACATATTAGTAAGATAAAAAACGGACTTATCATCAAATAAGTTTTTTTAACATACTCAAGTCATTATAAATTCATTCAGGAAGATTCAGCCCCAATTTTCAATAATTAATATAGGTACCCAACCCATTTACTTATGGACTAATGAGTTACAACATAAAATTTGAGTACTAAAAAATCAATCTCACTACGTGAAATAACAATTTTTCTTTCCTTTTTTTTTTTTAATTACGTAATTTAAAATTAATTTATATTTATTATTTTAATTGATAAAATTTTCTTGACATGTATATAATATCG